AAAAGGTTTTCTACTTTACTATATTAAGCGTTTATTATTAATACAATTATAATACTGCTAAAGAAAGCTAGTATACACTTTCCACTTTATGTCTGATATAAACAATAGGAGTTAGACCATATATGGGTTAGTCTCTACTGTTATAGAGCTTCGGGACTTTATGATCAAAGGGTTATGTTCTTAAGCTGCTTAAGAACATAACCCAGATTTGATTAAAAAGTCTCGAAGCCCTATAACGGTAAAGACTGACCCATATCACAAACCTATTTATGCTTATTCAATTTCAGTATTATATCCTTGCACAGGGCAAAAAATCTAAGGTTAAGACTCTAGAATCAATTAATTGAAGGTACGTATATACCTTGAATTTTTTTTAATTTTGGTCAGTAGTGATTTTGAAATACTAACTATCTTAGAATATTAATTTTTATTTATTTTCATTTTAAAAGTTAAACAGGACTTTACATTTCTATTAAGAATTTTTTTTTTTTTTGGTGTCTAGAGTGATAAAAACATTTATGCTAAGTCTAACTACTGTCACTACTTTCACTTTCTGCATTAGGGCACATCCTATTATTATGCCCGATTTCATGACATAAACCACATTTCCTTTGACTACTTTTACTGCTTTCACTTTCTGCATTAGGGCATGTCCTACTATTATGCCTGGTTCCATGACATAAACCACATTTTCTTTGCTTTTTTATAACCAATTCAAAGGTAGACAGATCTCTTTTAGTTGACGATTGAGGATGGTTTTTCGCTCCAACTGGATGTCCTTTTGTGTGTTGTACCTCTGGATCTTGTATCGCTATACTTGATTCTTGAAATACACTCAGCATCTTTTCCAGAACTTCACTTTTTTGATGAAGATGTAAGGATTCAAATTGTTGTCTATACTCTTTTCATTTTTGTTGTAAAGAGTCATCAGCTTCGAACAATTCTTGCTGAGGTAATTGTAGCTGCCAAATTCACCAATGCTGATTAAAATTACTAAGTTCTAAACATTTATTTTTTTTAAGAAGTTCCTGAATTATGTAAGAACAGGGTAGACCCATCGATGACTTAAAAGCACCACTGCAAGGTTGTAACGGATTTTCTGATGTTACACTAGATGCCTTTAAGAATTGTTCGTGAACCTTTTTTAATGCAAATGTCGACACCTTAGTGACGACCTGTGCATAAAATGGTTTGTTTTGGGCCTGAGGGATTCGAATTATCTCTTGGGAGATCATGGTTTTGATTTTCTGGTATCGATTCTCTAACGCCAAAGAGATTTTTTTATGGACAGCATGAAGATTACTCACTGATACTTGAAGATACCTCTTAAGTGCAGCATGGGCCCCTTCAACTCTCAATGTCATCAAATTACCTACGAGAAGCCAAAAAAAAAAAAAATTTGATAGAAGATGAGATCCGGAAAAAATAAATAAGGGAATTTAGAAGAATGCCGAAAGGATAAGAGAAAAAAAGACCAGAAAAGCTTAGAAACCAAAAAAAAAAACTAAATACCTAGATGCAAGTAACGATCTACCCAAGAGTATACAAAATGTGTTTTAAATGGCAACCATGTATCTTGCAAATAAGCAATAACTGCTGTTTTCTCATTATATTTCTTCTTTAACTTTTTCCAATTATTTTCAAAATCAGGTTCTGTCTTGGACTTTATAAGGGTGGACCAACTTTCAAAAAATATGGACCATTCGCCCTTTGTTGAGAAATGTCACCGGCAGTTAACTAACACATTTTTTTCAATATGCCAAACACACAAAAGATTATATGATTCGAGAAATATGGTTCATATGGCATGCATCAAAGCTAGTTCACGGTCAGTTACAATAACTTGAAACTTTGAGATATCACCAAAAATATAGGCAACACGAGTGAGTGCCCAATTATAATCTTCTTTCTGTTCTGATTTTAAAAATGCAAAACAGGAGAAAAATGTGGTATTAAAGTTTGTTATGCCAACAACGTGAAGCAATGGCATTTTAAATTTGTTGGTTTTATATGTACAGTCTATCAATAAAATGAAGTTATAAGTTTTAGTAAGTACAATTGACTTAGGATATGCGAAGAAAAAATGTGTTAAATTGACACTTTGATCATATTGATAATCATATTCAAAATTTCCTTCTATAAGCTCGTCAAGAAGGACCTGAATTGGAGTACAACCTTGAAGATTATCATGCCTAACCTTATCTCTGGCATTGTAGATAGTTTTAGAGATTGCTAAACTATCAGAATTACTTTGACGAAAAGTAGAAAGTATTTCATGAGGATAGATACCTGCTATAGACATTTCTTGAACTTTTTTTTGGTCATCTTTATTTAAGCGATGACTGGATGAATGGCCTGAGATATCTTCTGATGCTTCATGGTTTTGATTTGCATTTTTAATTGTTAAACGCCATTGACCATCCTCCATTTTTTTCCATAGAGCTCAAAAGGACAACCTATCAGCCTTGTACTTGTATTTCTTTGATGGGTTTCATCAATAAGATTTAGCCTATTATTATAGTGACCACCTCTGTCATACTTCAAATAGACAAACTTGTCTTTTTCAGATCTTTTGGTGCTTACCGCGTATCCATGATTGAAGGCATGCGTTTTAACATGATTAATAAGATCCTCACGACTTGCAAATGAACCAACTGAAGATGGGGACAAAGACATGATTTATTTTAAAAGCACGAATATAGTATTATAACAAAAAACTGATTATAGATTTTAATTTAAAGAAACTTCAATGTATAAAGCGAGTTAAGGCTTTATAATACTTTTATAATCAAATGTAAAAGAGGTTTGGTTGATGAAGGCTATATAGTACTTTTATAAGTTATTTGTTAAGTTATTACTAACTTGATAAGATGAATTTTAATCTTTCAGATGTTCTTTTTATACTTTTAGATTTTTTTACAGAAGATTATTTTTAGAACTGGTAAACTTTTATTTCTATCTCAGTTATTATTTTTTCTTTGATTTCATGCATTCTTTTACTTATTAATTCGAACCACGCCCAAGACCCTATCCAATTTAGTTTTATTATTTTTTTCTTTTCTTGAGCTACAAAATTGGTTCGTCATATCTACCATATATTCCGTGAGCTACCCCAGCAGAATAGTCTTTATATCTATTCTAGGACAGCTTATAATTATCAGCTAAGTCGATTCAGCTGAGCGATCTATTCATTTTTTTTTTTTTAGAAGGGAAGTACTAATGATAATTTTATAATTATTGGTTGAATCGATTCGGGCAAGTCATTATATAAAATTTTCTAGAATAGCTATTATTTGCTTTCTTTTTGGTTATGATGCAGATTCAAATTTTTGAAAATGGTTAGAATTATGCAAAATAATGCAGAGCACAAAGGTAATAAACAAAAAAAAAAATGCCGAAGATGCAATGTAATTTTACGTATAATACTAAATGAAAATTGATCTAACCTTAATAACAATTAGATAATTCTTGCATATTTGAAGTATCATTTTTGTTGATACATTTTAGGCTAAGTTATAACCTAAGTAGGGTGTCCAAGGTTATCATTATGCGATTTTATTTTTATAATGATCTAGCCGATTTAGAATCTGGGTATTACTGTTAAAAAAAAAATAGATCAAAGAATTCACTTAAATTAGTTAAATCTTTAGTCAAAAAAATTATTATTATGCCTAA